AATCAGTACTATCAAGGGTATGTTATTGGATCACCCAATTATTCTTCCAAGATTAAAAGCATTTGGGTTAATAAAGCTGAATCTGTTTTATCTCATACACCTGTTTGTACTAACAATCTTCCTTGCATTGTGAAGTCCACTAATGATTTGATTAATATTAGCAAGAGAAGGATTATGTGCTCAACATGCAGAACCAATAACTGGCATGAATCATATCTTGTATATAATCTTCAACAGGTGGCATGAAGATAACAGCTATCAGAACAACAGTTGGAAAGGTAACAACAGGTATGATTATAATAACTGGCATGAATCATATCTTGTATATAATCATCCTGTTAATAGTGCTGAAAAGAAAACACCTTATCGGAATAAATGGTTTGGTARTTACAACATACCCCAACACCATACTAACAATATAGGACCCAAGTTCGTTTGGGTATCAAAATCTACTTGATTTGGTTTTGAAGGTGTATCAAATTTATGCTGATCAGAAATATCATTTCAATGATATACCAATGCAGGGGGAGTTGTAATTTATTTCAAACTAAGGCTTCTTAACACTTCAGTTCAGAACCCGTGCTTTACCGAGTGTGGTTTCTAAACACTCAGTTTAGAACCCGTGCTTAAAATGTTTTCTTTTTCATTTTTTTGAGCTTAAAAGTTTCATTATTTTAATCTACTTTCTAGGGGGAGTTTCCTAGAAAGTTCAATAAGTGGTTTTGAAAATTGATTTTTTTTGGAAAACGAGTACATTTTCTGAACAGGTATTTCTTCAGATTTTACTTGTGTAATATCTCGTCGTACATAACTCCAATACCTGTTTCAGCTATTCTTCAAATTGTTATTAGCACGTCTCTTATATGATAATCATTTTCGGTGATAATACACTCGTTTGTATTCAACATTGTTTTTCTGATATTTTTTTTCTTTGACTAATACACATTCATTTTTTTTAATATAAGAATCTGTAAACTTGTTCTTACAGATCTTCATTCATTTCTCTCATACATATTGAATAATTGAATTGTTGTCGCATCATTCTTTATTGATCGTGCTTAAAGCCAAATTATTTGATCAACTTTTATCTAATCATTGTGCTTTAAAGTAATAATATTTTTGATCAATCTTTGTGATCATGTGTGCATAACGCTAAATTTTAGGAGGGACTGAGTGCTTATCAGAAATACCTCTATGGAATGTCAAAACCGACAGACCTACCCAAGAGGACAACCATATCT